CCTCCATCGCATCCCTCACAGCTCCTCCCTCCCAGGGCCCCTGCCCACTGCTGTGATTGTTCCTGTCTCATCTGTGTCCTCCACTAGCCATTGTAGCCCAGCGGTGAGAGCTGGCTCCCTTCCCTCTCTGTCCCCCTCCCCCACCACCCCTGCTGTTGCTTCCTGGGTTTGACTCCCACTGGGATGGATGACAGTGTCTGTCCCCGCAGCTCCAGGCTGTCAGGGATGGCCTGCGTCATCGCCGCCCCCTGGCGTCCAACCTGCCCTTGCATTTTGTGGGCACCTCTGCACCTGTGTGCCAGCGAGGCAAACTGCTCTCTGCCTGTCACCTGATGCTCGCAGGCATCCGGTTTCTCTGTTCTTTGTGAGGGCCTCAGCAGGGGGAGGGGAGGCAGGCTGTTTACTCCACAGCCTCTCCTGGGAAACTGGTGCCAGCTGCTGGGGCACAGAGGCTCCCCCTGCGAGGCCCTGCCTGCCAGCTGCCCCACCACGCCGCCCTCCCCGGAGCTCCACCTTCCCCTGGGGCCTGCTCAGAGTCCAGGAGTCCCCTCAGTCCCTCATGCCGGTTAAGATAGTGTGAGGATAAAGCCATGCACTGGGGGTGTTCCAGGCCCCCTGCCTGGCTTTGTGGCCTTGGGCAGACAACTTTGTCCTCTCTGAGCTTGGCTCCCCAATATCATAGGACCGAACATGGAAAGTTCTAGCATTGTGACCTACCCAGAGTTCAGTCTCCTGCTCAGTTGACCCAGCACTGTTCTGCCGGTGCCAGCTTCTTGGTTGCCCCCATGTCCTTATCTCCAGAGACCCTGCAGGTCCCTTTCAGCCGGGGAGCAGATCACAGCCTCACCAGGACAGGGCTGGCCTGCGGGTCTTCTTACCTCCTCACATCCCGTCCCTCCCCCTCTCCCTCACACACTGCCGCCCCCTCTGACCACAGCGCCAGCCGCTGCTTAAGTCGGATCCTCGGAGCCCAGGACTTGGGAGTTGAGCCAACACATTTGAACCGGAGACACAAATGAATGTCCACCTCACACAGCCATGTGTCTGCCTGGCCTCACCAGGCGGTCCCCCCTGAGTGGGTGCTTCTGCGGGCCTGTCCTGAGTCTCTGCCTTCCCTGGGGAGGAACACGCAGTGATGGCTGCCGTTTAGTGAGCACCAGAGTGCGTGCCAAACCCTGTCCTGAGGGACAAGCCGCCTGAGGTGTACTCACCGCCATTTTAGGGAGAGGGCGATTGAGACCCAGAGGTTAAGTCTGTTCTCTGTTTTTTGTAGAGAAACATCGATGTGAGAGAGAGACGTTGATTGGTTGCCTCCCACATGCAGGAATCGGACCCGCAACCCAGGTACATGTCCTTAACCAGGAATTGAACCCACGACCCTCCGGTGCGCAAGCTGATGCTTATTATTGAGCCACGCCCTCCAGGGCCACAGCCTGGACTCTTAGCCACTTTTCGAGACCCCGTGCCCAGGTGTGGGACTGGAGAGGCCCTGTCCGAGGTCGCAGTGCAGGAGGGAGGCAGTGAGGATTCAGGCCCCAGTCACGCTGTGCATTACCACTGCAGCCCGCCCCGCAGCCTGGCCCTGGCGCTCCAACCTGGGCCTCCACCCGTTGCCCAGGCCTCTGCACTGCTGGTTGTCCCCCTGCTTACTGTCCCCAATACAGACCTTCCCCGTGTTTCCCGGTGACCACTGCATCACATCACAGAGCAGCAAGTGTGTGCGGGGCCGCCTGGCACAGCGCGAGTGCTGCCAAGATGCTGCATGTTGCTTCTCTGAAACACCCGCACTGCTGCTTTCTTACCATTTCTTCTTCAATTGTTTATTTTAAAGTATGTTATCTCATTCCCAAAGGATAACATGTAGAATGCTGGTTTTGCTATGGTAATTCATTTTTCTTAATACATGAATGGAACACACACACATCACGATTACTATCGGTCAATCCCGAGCATTCCGACACTCGTATGCCCCTGCTGGTGACGTGGCAAGCTTGGGACGGGCTCGTGATGCTGTTGGGGATGTCGAGACAGGACGGGGGTGCACCCCGGCTGCCATCCCATTCTGCAGTAGACTGACTGAGCCCACTTCTGTCCCTTTGGTGTCTGTTCCCAGCACTGCCCCCACCTCCAAATGTGCCTCAGGTTTCCAAGGAAAGCGACAAGATGCAGTTCTCATTCTCGTCAGCAGGGGGCACCAAGACCCTTCTCTGAGTGTATCTACCCCTCCTACCACTGCCCTCCTTCTAAAGTGCGGGGCAGGGCTAGTCTCCTGAGTTCTGGCCGTAACCTTTTGTGAGGCTGTGCCTCCGTCCAAACCCAGTAGATGGCCGAAGAGATGGTCGATGGCAGCCGTGGGTGGTGTGGAGGCACCAGGTTAGAGACCTGGGTCTTTGGCGGCAGAGGGGAAACTTGGCTCAGTCTGACTGGGAAGTCAGGGAGGACTTCATGGAAGAAGGGATATCAGAGCAAAACACCTCCAGGACCAGTCGCAGTTTGAGGGGTTGGTTAGGCAGTACTCGTTCCCTGCAGACTGTCTGGGATGCTGACATCTGCTAGTAACGACCCTCCATATGCCCGGTCCCTACTCTATGGATCCCTTCTTAGAGTGATGATTTTCAAAGGCAAAAAAATAAAAGTATTGCAAAGGATACCAGTTAAAATACAATTAGCTAAGTTTTTTAAAATTTCAATTTGGTATTTATGCTCTTCCTTATTGACCCATGAAATAGCAAGAGTGATGGACATTCTACAGTTGCAGTAATATGTGGAGATATTGGTCATGTGTATTGATGACAGTCACAGGGTCTATCGTAATAAGGAAATGCTAACTTTCACTTCAGTGCAGTTATTGAAAGTAAAGAGACTGTTTTCCCCACTCGAAGTCATAGGCGCCTTGAGGGCCATGGAGCCTGCTTGGCTGGACAGCAGAGGCAGCTACTGAGTCCTGTTTTCCAGAGCTGGGCACCGAGCACCTGGCAGAGAGCGCCCCCCCTGGGTCTGCGGGAGGACAGCTGGCACCCAGGGGCTGCTCGTGGCCGCAGCTCCCCCGAGGCGGAAGTGAGGGGCAGAGGACAGGCTGGGTATCTACTGACTTCCTACTCCAGCACCGTAGTTCCAGCTCCCCACCCAATAGAGAGAGAGTTCTGGAATCACTGTTCCCCTCTGTCCTGCTCGCTGCCTGGCGTGGGGAGGAGCTTTCCTCTCCTGGACCTCGGCTTCCTGCCTTAGGAACCGGGTAGTGATCAGCGAGCGCACTGCCTGGAGGAGAGGCGGCTTTCCTGGAACCCCTGCCGGGCTCCTGCTGGCCCAGTGCCTGGCCGGGGTGAGGGAACCTGGAAGGTCTGCGGAGGCCACTTCCTGTCTCCCACACACACACACACAACACACCCCGCACCATTCTGCTGGCCCCAGGAGCTCTTTCCGGATTGGCTCAGTGGAAGAGCGTCAGCCTGGGGACTGGAGGGTCCCGGGTTCGATTCCGGTCAAGGGCATGTACCTTGGTTGCGGGCATATCCCCGGTAGGGGGTGTGCAAGAGGCAGCTGATTGATGACTCTCTCTCATTGATGTTTCTGACTCCCTATCTCTCTCCCTTCCTCTCTGTATAAAATCAATAAAATATATTTTTTTAAAATAAAATAAAAATAATAATAAAATGAAATTTAAAAAAAAAAGGTTTTTATTGATTTTAGAGAGAGAGAAGCATTAATCAGCTGCCTCCTATGCACACACACACTTCCCCCACAAGGGGGATTGAGCCTGCAACTCAGCCATGTGCCCTGACCAGGAATCAAATCAGTGACCTCTTGGTGCATGGACGACGCTCAACCAACTGAGCCACACCAGCCGGCGACCGCAAGAGCCTTATACACCAGCCTGACCCTTCCCCTCCCCTGCTCAGAGCCTTAACTTCCTGTCTTTCTGGTCACCTGGGGCAAAATCCAAGATTAATAGCCTAAAATGGAAAACAATACCGATATCTCACTACCTGGTGAAAGGACATCAGACAGTTACTTTATCTCTATATGTAAAAGGCTAATGTGCTAAGTGTCCATCTGGGTAAGACATCACATAGCAATGCCCAGCTTCCTCTCTCTGGTTGTGGAGGTGTTTTTGTTTTTTTCCGAGTCCAGCATGGAAAAGGAAGGGATCTGGTTGCTGATTAAGAAATAAAACAAAGAAAGAGAGCAAGATGCAGAAAAAGATTTATAAAACCAGGAGCCAGGTGGGATGCCATTCTCTCTGATGGGGAGGCAGCGACGGTGCCGACTAAGCCCATACAGCACCTTTATTTTCTTATTTTTATTTTTTAAATATATTTTATTGATTTTTTAGAGAGGAAGAGAGAGGGATAGAGAGTTAGAAACATCGATGAGAGAGAATCATCAATCAGCTGCCTTTTGCTCCACCCCTACTGGGGATGTGCCCACAACCAAGACACATGCCCTTGACCTGAATCGAACCTGGGACCTTTCAGTCCTCAGGCCAACACTCTATCCACCGAGCCAAACCAGTTTGGGCCACATTTATTTTATATCCCAAATACCAGGAAGTATCACCACAACTTAGGATCAAAGGAGCTTATTTGTATTCTTACGTAGGCCCTAGCTCCTTTGCAGGCTGGAGGACCGATCCATTCTCATGCAGAAAATAATCCATCACCCACCTGCTCTGGGCCTGGCCCCGGGCTGGACAAGTTGGGCCAGACCTGTCCTTGTGGGGCTCCAGGTTAGGTGGGGGGCAGCTGACAGTAGAACATGGAGAGACATGAGATGTGGACTGTTCGTGTGGAATCGCTCAGGGGCCATGGGGAAGTGTGGACTGTGGGGTGACTTGGTTTGGGGGCACCTTTCCAGGACAGCAGGGGCCCTCGGCGGGGCAACAGAGCTCAGTGGGTTGTTGAGAGGGGGAGGGGGCCGGCAGAGGCCTGGGGCCGGTGGGGAAGGGGTGTGAGAGACCCCAGAACATGGAGAGTCACAGTCTGGGTCCTCTGTGCCCGCAGCCCAGAACGTAACTGTGGACGAGGTCATCAGCGCTTACAAGCAGGCCTGCCAGAAGCTGAACTGCAGACAGATCCCCAAGCTCCTCCGGCAGCTCCAGGTATGCAGGCAGGGGACGGCCCCCCACCTCCCAGCAGCCTCCGGGCTCTGTTGTCTGCCCGGCGGAGAGGGCACACTGGGCACTCCCACTGCCCGCTGCTCCCCCGCACGGCCCGCTGCTCCCCCGCGCGGCCCTCTGCTCCCCCCGCACGGCCCTCTGCTCCCCCCGCACGGCCCGCTGCTCCCCCCGCACGGCCCTCTGCTCCCCCCGCACGGCCCGCTGCTCCCCCCGCACGGCCCTCTGCTCCCCCCGCACGGCCCGCTGCTCCCCCCGCACGGCCCTCTGCTCCCCCCGCACGGCCCGCTGCTCCCCCCGCACGGCCCTCTGCTCCCCCCGCACGGCCCGCTGCTCCCCCCGCACGGCCCGCTGCTCCCCCCCCCCCCCGCACGGCCCGCTGCTCCCCCCGCACGGCCCGCTGCCCCCCCCCCGCACGGCCCGCTGCTCCCCCCGCACGGCCCGCTGCTCCCCCGCACGGCCCGCTGCTCCCCCCCCCCTCCCCCGCACTGCCCGCTGCTCCCCCCGCACCGCCCGCTGCTCCCCCCGCACGGCCCGCTGCTTCCCCCCCCCCCCCCCCCCGCACGGCCCGCTGCTCCCCCGCACCGCCCGCTGCTCCCCCCGCACGGCCCGCTGCTCAGAGCGGGGCCCTGCGCTCCCCGATGCCTCAGGAAGTCCGTCAGCTGTGAGTGCACGCAGGCTCCTCGTGAACACTTGCTCGGTGGGGAATTACGTAAAGTAAGAATTTCAAGTGTCTGTCACTGCCCAGAAAAGGTCTGTTCCCCAGGCAGAAAGCCAAATATACAGTATTTATTCTTAAAAGCCTGAATTACAAAAGTAACATATATTCTTTAATTTAAAAAAAACAACTACAGACCTAAAAAGCAAAATTCACTTCTTCTTGTCCAAGTCCCATTCCCGGGAGTCCCTGCTGCTGCAGCTTGGGCTTTGTCCTCCGGCCTCTCCTGGGCGTTTGTAGGACGGCGGTCACTCTCCGGGCGGGAAGACAGTCTGACTCCTCTGGCGAGGGTGTCGCTGTGCCTGGGACATGCGCCCCTCCCCGGCCATCACCGGCCGGGCTGAGGTCCGGCACTGCCGTGGCGCCCTCCGGAATGCTCCCACGTTTGTGTCTAGGGTGGTTGCTCCCTCAGACAGCGTGCTGTGAGCAGTCATGCTGGCCCCCATCCCTGCACACCCATGTTAGGGTTTCTGTGGAGGATTCCAGAAGGTCTTACTCTCAGGTCCAGGGGAAGATGGCCACTCAGTGTGGCAGCCAGGAATGTGGGCCCTGGAGCCTGGTTCGGGCCAAGCCTGCCCTCACCCCCTCGGCAAGGCTGGGCTCAGCCTCTGCCTGCCCACGGGTCCATCACGGCTCCTCCCTCGGAGCTGATGTGAGTGGAGCCCAGGGAATAGGGCTGGCACCTGTGGGTGGGGCTGGAGCTCAGCCAGGAGCCAGCAAGACGTCTGTCCAGTGCCTTATTCCCCTTCCTGAGCTCACTGCGTGCCAGGCCTGGTACCTGCCTTCCCCTGGCCTCTGGGGCCTGACCTGTCAGCGTTTGTCTCCGGGCCTGCCCCACAGCCTTTGCGCTGGCTGTCCCTCTCCCTGAAAACCTGTCCCAGAGACGCCCAGGGCCCACTCCCTCCCTCCATTCAGCTGGCGCAGGGGGGCTGCATCCGACCTGCCTCGCTCCAGGTTCGGGTGGGGGCAGGGGGTAAGGAGCTGCCACCTTCTCCGAGCCGCCGTGCCCTCCACACCCACCCCAAGCACTGCCTCGCCTCAGAGCAGAGCAGACAAACTGCAAAAGCAAGGTGCTTCCTGCTTAACCCGTCCATTCTGCTTTCCCAGGAGTTCACGGACCTCGGGCACCGCATTGACTGTCTGGACCTGAAAGGTGTGTGTCTGGGCAGAGGCGGGAGCCCTCAGGGGTGGCAGGGCCAGCTTCCCTAGAGCTGGACCCACGGGCAGGGTGAGGTCCTGGGCTGCTTGGGGTCAGAGGGCCCTTCCTCCCTCCCTTGGCCTGGAGCCCCGGTTTGCACCCAGGCCCCCCCCCACACACACACACACACACACACAGCAGTGAGCTCACACATGCCTGCACGGCGCCCTCCCAGGTGAAAAGCTGGACTACAAGGCCTGCGAGGCCCTGGAAGAGGTCTTCAAGAGGCTGCAGTTCAAGGTCCTGGATCTGGAGCAGACCAACCTGGACGAAGATGTGAGCATCTCTGCCACCGCCCTTCCCTGCTCCCGAGCTCCCTGGCTCCTAGAGGTTTGGGGGCTGGGGCTCTGCAGGAGGAGGGAACCCCTGGACAAGGGCTGGCGGGGCCTCTCGAGGGAAACCCAGTGTGAGCAGAGCGAATGCTGGGGCTCCGGGCAGGGCCAGACCCCCCGAAAGGCAGGGGCTTTGTAAGGAAGGGGGAGACTTGGGGAGCCAGGCCGGAGGGGGGCTGTGGCCACCTGGAGCCTTTCCAGGAGCGTCCTGCCGCCCCCACCCCGTCATAGTGTCTGCAGCAGAAGGAGTTTGAGAAACTTTTTTTTAAAATTGATTTCTATGGAAGGGGGAGGGGAAAGAGAAAGGAACATCAATGTGAGAGAGATACATTGATCGGTTACCTCTCACATGCACCTTGACCCAGGATCAAACCCATGACCTTCCAGTACATGGGATGACGCCCTGCCCAGGTATATGCCCTGATCAGGAATCAAACCCGTGACCTTCCGGTACACGGGATGATGCTCCAACCTACTGAGCCATGCCAGCCAGGGCAGGTTTGAGAAATGTCTGAAAGCAGCCTCCCCGACTAGGCCTAGGCGTCCTCTCTCCCCTTGGAGACTTGGGGGTCACCAGGAGCCAGGAGCTGGGCCCCAGGTATAGAGACACAGGAGAGCCAGGGGCCGGTCCCGGCCACACCGCACGGCAGCCTGGGGGCACGTAAGGGCTCTTCCGGGAAATGGAGGGGCTGGTTCTCGTGACCCAGAGGTGCGGCCGTGTCAGGATCAGCGCCTGCCTCCCAGGCTCCGCGGCTCCCCCGGAGGCTGAGCCCCCTGTCTCCCCCCAGGGCGCCTCCGCCCTCTTCGACATGATCGAGTACTACGAGTCAGCCACCCACCTCAACATCTCCTTCAACAAGCACATTGGCACCCGGGGCTGGCAGGCCGCTGCCCACATGATGCGCAAGGTGGGTGCCTCCCTGCCTCCTCGCCAGGTTTCGGGGGGCGGGGGGGGGGGAGCTCAGGCATAGAGGGTCCAGGTGCTTTGTCAGGGCACCAGCTCTTTAGGGGTGCTGGGCCCCTTCTCTCCTCCTCTCCTTACCCCAATGGAGCCCTCGGAGGCATCCGTGGTTGCCACCCCATGTTACTCACAGGGAGTCAGCTCCACCCTCGCCTGGCTCACCGCGGGACCCCAGGCCGGGCCTGCCGGCACCAGCGCCGGCTGTAAAAGCGGATGGCCTTGCTGCTCACTGGGACTCGGGGTGGGAGGTCCCCCGGGCAGTGAGGGCAGGGCCAGCCTGACCAGCGCTGCTCCTGCCCCATCAGACAAGCTGTCTGCAGTACCTGGATGCCCGCAACACGCCCCTGCTGGACCACTCGGCGCCCTTCGTGGCCCGGGCCCTGCGGATCCGCAGCAGCCTGGCCGTGCTGCACCTGGAGAACGCCAGCCTGTCGGGGCGGCCCCTCGTGCTGCTGGGTGAGCCGGGCCGGGGGGCCGGGCGGGGAGTGCAGCCCACTCGGCGGCTGGGGCGGTTGGCCAGGTCCCTGGGCCCGGCCAGTCACCAGCCCTCCTCTCCCCAGCCACAGCCCTGAAAATGAACATGAACCTCCGGGAGCTGTACCTGGCCGACAACAAGCTCAACGGCCTGCAGGACTCCGCCCAGCTGGGCAACCTGCTCAAGTTCAACTGCTCCCTGCAGATCCTGGACCTCCGCAACAACCACGTGCTGGACTCAGGTGTGTGGGCGGCCCACCGCCCGCTTCGTCACCCGCCCAGCACCACTGCCCGGCCCGGTGCTCCATGCTGCGGGGGCAGCCCCGCTCTGCTCTCGTGCGGTCAGAGTTCATAGTGAACCCAGACCACCCCAGGCAGTGAGCGTCAGACTGGGCGGGGGCTGCCCCCAGGGGGTTCCACCCCGTCCCGGGGTCAGTCCCGGGGTCAGGGGCAGCTCGGAGAGGCACTGAACAGGTAATTGAGATAATTACCATCTGGGGAAAGTGCCCCGAAAGGAAAGGAATCGAGGCTGTTGGGCGAAAGGTCAGCGCGGGCTCCTTCAGCCGCAGGGAGGGCACCTCTAGGTGGCCATGCGGGGCTGAGAGCACGCCCACTGGTGTGCAGCCTGGGAGGGATCCCTGCAGAGGCAGCTGGTTGGAGGCCGGAGGTGGGAAGAGCTTGGGCGCTGGGTGCTGTGGGGAAGCTGTGGTGAGCAGGATGTGGAAGGGAAGGAAGAGGAAGTGTCTGCGAGAGGAATTCAGTCCCCTCCTGGGGGGGCGGCTGGGTCAGGTTCGCTGTTGGGCAGGGTCCCTGGCCTCAGTGTGAGGAAAGGGAAGGGGCAGGCAGAGTGGGACGGAGGCCAGTGCCTTCCCCCAGGGCAGCCAGGCCCAGACCCATTCACAGACCACCTACCCCGACCAGGCCTGGCGCCTGGCTGGCTCCCGGCTGGGAGGCCTCTGCCCTCGGGAAGCACAGACCAGGTGGATGAGCGGGAGCTGAGTGTGTCCGATGGGAGACGGCTCAGGAAGAAGGAAGTGTGGTGTGGGCTCCGCGGCCGGCCAGAGGCTGCGGGCGGGGGGCCCAGGGATCGGAGCTGGGGGTGTGGCAGGGCCGAGCAGACCCAGGGGAGGGTGGAGCCCGCACACCGACCGGACTCACCCGGGGCCTCCGCCAGGTCTGGCCTACATCTGCGAGGGCCTCAAGGAGCAGAGGAAGGGACTGGTGACCCTGGTGCTGTGGAACAACCAGCTCACACACACGGGCATGGCTTTCCTGGGCATGACGCTGGTGAGTCCCAGGGTGCCCTCCCCCCAGCCCAGCATGTCAGCGTGTCTGGGTTCATCCCGCTCCACAGTCCCGGGCCTTTCCCTCAGGGGTAGCCCCCCTCGCTGTGCCAGCACGATCGCCTAGCACAGAGCTGCTGCACAAGGTGAAGGGTTTGTTAATATCTCCAGAAGCCTTCAAACCTTACTGTTACCCAGAATTTAAAGCAGCCCCAGGTACAGAGGTGAGCCCCGGTGAGGAACGCTCACTGCACGGGGAGCGGGCAGGCAGAGGCGCTGGGCTCCCCGGCCTCAGGCAGGAATGCGCTGGCTGCACTGCTGAGGGGGAGCCGGGTCAGCCTCTCTCCCGCTGGCCTGAGGGCCTCCTCCGTCTGCCCGCACCCCGCAGCCGCACACACAGAGCCTGGAGACGCTGAACCTGGGTCACAACCCCATCGGGAACGAGGGCGTGCGCAACCTCAAGAACGGCCTCATCGGCAACCGCAGCGTGCTGCGCCTCGGCCTGGCCTCCACCAAGCTCACCTGCGAGGGTAGGGCGCGGGGCGGCGAGGCGGGGCGGGCGGGCGGTGGGTGGCCAGCCGGGCGTGGGCCCATGGCCAGCCCTGCGGTCCCCCTCCCAGGCGCGGTGGCGGTGGCGGAGTTCATCGCCGAGAGCCCCCGCCTCCTGAGACTGGACCTTCGGGAGAACGAGATCAAGACGGGCGGGCTCATGGCACTGTCCTTGGCCCTCAAGGTGAACCACTCCCTGCTGCGCCTGGACCTCGACCGAGAGCCCAAGAAGGAGGCGGTGAGCGGGCGCTCCTCTGGGCCCGGCTGAGGGCGGGTGAGGGTGGACGTGGCCGAGTGACCACAGGACACGCTGCAGGGACAGGCCCCCGCCCACCCCACCCCGAGCCCTAGCCAGGCCCCTCCGCCCGCAGGTGAAGAGCTTCATTGAGACGCAGAAGGCACTGCTCGCCGAGATCCAGAATGGCTGCAAGCGCAACTTCGTGCAGGCGCGGGAGCGGGAGGAGAAGGAGCAGCGGCTGCAGCTGTCGGCCTCCATGCCCGAGATCACCGTCACCGAGCCCCAGCCGGACGAGGAGCCCGGGGCCGAGCAGCCCGGGACCGAGCCTGACGCCCAGGCTCAGGAGAACGGGGACCCGGCCCCCGGGCCCGGCCTGGACTCGGACTCAGACTCAGACTCCGAGGGGGAGGAGGAGGATGGGGAGAGGGCTGCAGCCCCTTGCCCCGCCCCACTGCCCCCCACGGACTCCCTGGGCCCTGGGGACAGGAGCCCCCCAGGCAACCCTTCCTCCCCCACCGAGCAGCGCATCTCCATCTCCGTGTCCAGCCCAGGCCGAGGCCACAAAGTGTTCGTGGTGACTCGCGTGGAGAGCCCCCCGGAGAGGGCAGAGCCCCCCGTGCCGCCCTCTCCTCGTCCTCCCTCCCCACCTGCCCTGCCTTCCCCGCCCCCCTCACCTGCCCTGCCACCAGCTGAGGCCATCAGCACTCGGGACCCGGGGCCATCGGAGCCGGAGCCTCACCCAGAGCCGCCGCAGGCAGGGCCACCCCTGCCCAATGGCCTGAAGCCCGAGTTTGCCCTCGCACTGCCCCCGGAGCCGCCCCCGGGGCCCGAGGCCAAGGCGGGCAGCTGCGGCCTGGAGCACGGTGAGAGGGGCTGGGGCAGGCAGCCCGGGGCCCCGCGTGCTGTGTGCCCCCTGCCCGCTAGGGGGCCTCAGCCCTGAAATGGCCCTGGGAGGGACAGGGCCCCACCTCGTTTCCCAGGGCGGGGGGCCTCTCCCTGGATCTGATCTCAGGGGCCCTGGCTTGTGCTGCCCCGAGGGTCTGGCCTGGGCAGGGCTGGCGGGTCAGGCTGCCATCCCCCGCCCGCCTGACGAGGCCGCTCATTCTCCCGCCAGAACTGAGCTGCTCCAAGAACGAGAAGGAGCTCGAGGAGCTGCTTCTGGAAGCCAGTCAGGAATCTGGGCAGGAGACACTGTGACACTTTAGGTGAGACGAGGGCCGGGGGCTGGGGAGCCAGCGCGAGAGGCCCCGGCTCTGACAGGCCCCAATCTCTCCCCAGTTCCTTCTTCCAGCCGGTCTTCTATGAGCTGAGGCCAGAGCCATGAGAACCTGCTCACCCTCACCCCAGCCTTCCGGAGGCCCGGACGCCAGGGGTGGGGGCGCCTTTCTGGGGACCCCTACCCCCCACAGCAACACTACACGGGGTGCAGGAGCTCTGGGGTGGCCCTCTCCGTCCTGACCTGAGCACTCCTGTTGGCGTCCAGCCCTCAGCCTCTGGGCCAGAGGAGGGGTCTCCGAGGTCACCAGCCCCAAAGCCGCCGACTTTCCTGGAAGAGCCCGGGAGGCCAGGCCGCGGGGAGGGCGGAGGCCTGGGCGGTGGTGGGATGCCCCCACCCCGTGGCACTGGGCACAGGACGGGCGGGGGCGTGGTGCGGCGGTGAGCGTGGTGGTGGTGGACTTGGCGGAGCAGCCCCAGGAGGTGCGGGCCGGGCGGGTGGGGGATGGGAGCAGAGGTTCAGAGCTTTCTTAAGTGCAATAAATCTGTCAGGGAGCTGCGGGCCAGGGCGCTGAGACCCGCTGTCCAGGCCGCTGGAAGCCGCGCCCTGAGAGGCACTACAACCGGGGAGGGCGGGCGGAGTGGGCAGAGGGCGGGGGGCCCTCCTGTCGGTGCACCTCTGTCCACACCTTTTCTAATAAACCAGAGCGGGGTTCACCTCGTGCCTGTCTCTGCGCGCCCGTCCCGGCGGGAGTTCTGGTCACGGAGGGGGCGGGGCGGGGCGGGGGCTGTGAGGCAGCGGGCCCCGGGAACCCGGGCTGCCCCCTGTACGGTGTCCTCTCTCTCACGGCCAGTCCACTTGTGCTTGCCTTTCTTCAGGGGAAAACTCCAAAGATCCTCCAGCTCTAGGTCCAGGGATCAGGGTGATGTGCCCCCCAGTCACCAGCCTGTCTGCACTGGCCCTGGACATTCGCAGAGGGGGGGGGGGGGTGCACAGGCCACGAGTCAGCGCCCTGGAGCCCCCTGGGCAGCCTGCTCCCCAGGGCCGGGACGAGATGAGGTGCACCCGGGGCTGGGAGGCAGTCCCGGGAAATGTGGACTCCACCTTCAGAAAACGAGAGAAGCACTCAAGGGGAGACCTTTGCACCTGCCCCTTTCCTCCCCGCCTGGGATGCTGACTGTGGTGGGTGGAGGCGGTGGGAAACCACAGAATCCCAGTGTCACCGGCTGGGAGCCCTGGTGCCTCGGCTCCTGCACAGGCCGGGCCTCTCCCCAGGGGCTACTGTCTTTTCGGCCGTGGGCAGCTGTGTGTGCGCCTGTACGTCAGCCACCAGCCCACGGACAGCTGGGGAGAGACCTGCACGGCCCTGGTTCTGAGCTGCGGGCAGCATCGGCCTCCCGCTGGGCCCCTGTGCTGGCTGTGTCCTGGCCTCGGCCCCCTCAGCGAGACGGGCGTGTGCCGTTTGCCTCGAGAGGCTGAGGGGCCACAGGCTGGGTCCGTCAGTGCACACACACACCCCCCCCCCCAGTGCAGTTGACTGGTCAGTTCTAGCTGTTGCTCAGGAACCAACTCCCACGGGAGCTTTCAGCCCTCAGCAGCCTGGTGGGCTCTTCTGTCCCCTTTGTGACCTCTGACCTCTGTCTCCGCTCCCAGGCTGGTGACCAACAGGCCGGGCTGCAGTGGGGGTTAGGGGGTCTCCGCTCACCTGTCTCAGGTGATGCCTGTGAGGGGCGCCCACGGCCTTGTTCCTGCTCTTTGCTTCCACTAAGTCAGCTCAGAGTGAGGAACTCGGTCTTTCCCACCGTCCCAGCCTCCCTCCACACAAGAACATGGAAGTCCTAACCCTTAGGCGCTCAGAGTGGGACCTTTGGAGACAGAGGCAATCGTTGAAAATGAGGTCACAGGTACATGCCCGGGGACTCATAAAAAGGGGAAATTGGGACACAGACGTGCCCGCAGGAAGAGGGTGTGGAGATGGAGGCCTGGAGGGATGGCGGCCACGGCCAGGGGACCTCGGGCCGCCCATGAAGTGCTCGGAGCCGGAAGAGGCCAGGAGGGTCCCCTACCCTGGCTCTGCTGGCCCCTTGATTTCGCACTTCAGGCCTCAACTGGGAGAGAATGAGCTTCTGTCCTGAGCCACCCAGCGGGTGGACTTGGTGATCCGCCCCAGGAGACTAGCAGACCAGCTCCTCGGGGCTCCTGACTTCCCAGCTGTGGGAGTCCTGGGTCACGGGTGGGTCCCCTTTATCTCCAGCCACCCCAGCATCGCCATCGTGCGTGAAGACAGGAGTCTCATGCTGGCTACACACCCTCCAGGCTTAAAGGTACCAGTGCCCTGACCCAGTGTTTGTTGTCACCTGGGTGTCCAGGACGGAGGCAGCTCTTCACAAAGTGACAGCGTGTACCCAGGCCTCCTCTCTGGGGCTCTGCTCCCCCCTGGCCTCAGGGTTCCTGCTCCAGCAGGAAGGTAGGGGAGGGGGAGGAGGAATGAAGGCAAACTGCTGCCTCTTGTTGCCACAGCAGGGAAGGGACACACATCACTTCCGCTCCCTGGTGTTCTGAGAACTAGCCCCTGGCCTCACCTGGGAGCAAGCTGCAGCAAAAGCCCCGCGCTGTAAAGGGGAGGGGACCCTGGCCGACAGCGGCCGTCCCCGGCTCACCCACCATCCTATTCTATAGTCTCCCAAACTCCAGCTTGGGCGGGCCCATGATTAGCCTCTAAGATAAACAGGTACCAGTGTGGCCATGGCTTCGAACCACACAGCAGGTCCTCAGTCCCACCCCCAGCCAAGGCTCGTCCTGCCTCCTGCAGCGCCTCACTCCTGATCCGTCTTTTTTTTTTTTTTTTTTTTTTTTTTTTTTTTAAGCCAGTCACCAATCTGTTCGCTGCCGGGACCCTAGGTCTGGCCAAAGAGCCCACATATGGCTCTTTGGCTCCCTGAGTGTGGCTCTTGCACAAAATACCACGGCCTGGGCGAGTCTATTTTGAAGAAGTGGCGTTGGGAGAAGTTTAAGTTTAAAAAATTTGGCTCTCAAAAGAAATTTCAGCCAAAACCGGTTTGGCTCAGTGGATAGAGCGTCGGTCTGCTGACTAAAAGGTCCCAGGTTCGATTCCGGTCAAGGGCATGTACATTGGTTGCGGGCACATCCCTCATGGGGGGTGTGCAGGAGGCAGCTGGTCGATGTCTCTCTCTCTCGTCGATGTTTCTAGCTCTCTATCCTTCTCCCTTCTTCTCTGTGGAAAATCAATAAAATATACATATAAAAAAATAAATTTCAATTATTGTACTGTTGATATTTGGCTCTGTCGACTAATGAGTTTGCTGACCACTGCCCTCGGCGGTAAGAAATAGAAGCCCAATCATATTGGCTTAAGGGGGATGGAAGGGCCGTATGCCCTGACCCATGTGGCTTTGTCCCAGGCACTGAGAGGTCACCAATTCAACTCCGGGTCAAGACACATGCCCAGATTGCTGGCTGGTGCCGAAGGTACCTGATTGATGTTTCTCTCATTGATGGTTCTCTCTTCTCCCTTCCCCTTCCTCTCTCTAAAATCAATTTTTTAAGAAATTGAAGGGACATAGAGTGGCTCTGCTCAATATCACGTCACAGCGACACGGACCTAATGGCGTCATAGGCCCCGTGTTTCTCTCCAAAGGCCTTCGCTCGGGGCTGGCTCTTCCCTGCCGTTGGAAAACCTCCCAGCGGGTTGGGGTGATCCAGGCCAGGACTGCACCAAAGTCCCGGCATCGCCCGTGGAGGCACAGGCTGGCTCTGCCCTACGTCCGTTTTGGCACAGTCATTGGCTGGGGCACTGGGGTGTCGTCCCCAGCCTTGGAGATAAGGAATAACATCAGTACCCGCACCAGGCCTGAGGGTGGTGCTTTGAAACTTCTAGGCTCCTCCTGGCACTGTCTGCTCAGGGCCCCGGCTTAGAAGTCACACCTGTGGGTCCATCCTCCCCACCCCGGACTGAGCGGGGGACACCACAGGCCTGAGTGCGTGGCTGTGACCAATGAGGAGAAGGAAACACGCAGGAGGGGAATGTGCCAGACCGGCAGAGTCCAGCCCTAAGATAACCCTCCCCTTGACCCAGTTTCGGCCCTGGCTCTATGTCCTACACATGCCCCAGCTTTGCTCCTCTTCCCTGACCTCATGGACGTGCTGCCTCTGGACAGTTATTTGTCCGGGGAGGCAGTGCTGCCCACCCAGCCGGCTGAGCTGCAAGCGATGCCTAATGAACTGTGGGGGCCGAAGCCACACTGCAAGTGGAGCAGCCCCCTGAGGTCACCTCAGACACTGCCCTGCCCACCGAGGTGCCGGCTTGGGGATGGGGACTAGGACCTGGATCCCCGAGGCCTGGGTGTTCTCCATCACTGAGTCACCGTGGCACATCATCCTTCATCGCCCCGCCTGGGTCTCGCCCGCGACCCCCACACCCCCTCCTGCCCCAGGGATGCCAGCCATGCGGCTGACGCCCTGGGGGAAATGGGCTTGGCAGAACAGGGCAGGCTGGTCCCTAGTTCTTGCTGAGCGAGGGAGACAGGGCCTAAAGACCAATCAAGGGCTTTCGCGCCTTCATTTATTGCACTTGAACTGAGTCTTCAGTGGTCCTCCTGCGCTCTGGGATACTGGCACTGCCGTCAGCTACTCTTCCTGGCTCATCCGCGTGGGGAATGTGGCCACCACAGGCCTCATTCCCAGCACAGACCCTGGGTCCCTACACGTGTCCGGGCAGAGGGACGCTGTTGCCCTTGGGCCCCAGAATCCTTCATTCAAGGCACCGCCCCTGAGTGAAGGCTGGGTTCCCTGCAGCGCAGGACGCTCAAGCCACGGGTCTGGGCTTGTTCCTTTGCGTCATGCGGGGGTGCGCGTCCTCTCCGGCCTGGTTGGCTCTGGCGGCAGCGCGGACAGCCCGGGGGTCGTGGTTGGCGGCGCAGGCCGCGGGAGCAGGGGGGTGGTTGGCCCCGTTCGCAGCGTGGGGGGCGTCGCCGCCGGCCGGGGACTTGGGCGGGCTGGGCGGCTTGAGCGCTAGCACGGCCCGCAGAAGGCCCATGCGGCGGCGGATGGAGTGGTCCAGGTTGACGGTGCAGCGCAGCAGGTTCTGCGCCTCGGCCACGGTGAAGGGGAAGTCGGCGCTCAGGAAGCGCTGGAAGAGCTCGGGGTCGCCGTCCAGGTCCAGCACGTTGTGCAGCTCCTTGGTCAGCGAGTGCAGCTCCCGGCTGTTGTCGCGGAACACGTCCCAGAGGCGCGCGCGGGCGTCGGGCGCGCCCCCGGCCTGCTGCCGGTCCTCCAGGCACTGCAGCGCCCAGCTCAGGCGGCAGGGCCACTGGTTGGCGAGCACCACCCAGGCCACGGCCTGGCGCGGGGTGGGGCCCACCAGGTCCTGCCGCTGTTGCTGCTGCTGCAGGAGGCGCAGGGTGATGGGCACGGTGTTGACGATGCGCCGCATGAACACCAGGTTGTCGGGCACGTACTCGTAGAGGCAGTCGCGCTCGTCGTGCAGGCAGAAGAGCGCCTCCTGGATGCGGCGCGCCGCCTCGGCGTCGATGAGGCTCTGCGAGCGCTCGGCCCCCGCCGCCTGCATCTCCACGGCCAGCAGCTGCGCGCCCTCGTCGCCGCCGGGGCTCAGCGGCCGCAGCTGGCGCGTCATCTCGCGGTACAGCAGGTCGTCGCGGCTCTGCACGGCGTCGTGCAGGAACTGCAGCTTCGTGCGGTGGCCCATGACGGGCACGGAGAAGGGCAGCGTGACGGTGCGGTTGAGGAAGAGGTAGCCGTTGTCGGCCGTGCCCTTCATGGAGCCGGCGCTCTCGAGGCACGCGGCCAGGATGCTGGGGTCCACCACCAGGATGAAGATGAAGGGCGCGTGGCTGTCGGACAGCAGCGTGTTGATGGCGTTGAGCACGCCCACCACGTGGTCCGAGTAGCACGTGTCCAGCCCCGTGACCTCCAGCACGATGCGCAGCCGGCAGCGCTGGTAGATCTCCAGGAAGCACAGGAAGTCGGTGAGCAGCTCCACCTCCTTCTTCACCTCGCACATGAAGCCCAGCTGGCTGCCGAACTTCTCCTGCGACACCAGCCGCTCGATCTTTTTGCGCTGGCTCACGAACAGGTGCTTGCCCACCGAGTACACGGCCATGAGCAGGCCCGAGCCCGACAGCGTGGTGGCCGCGCCGCCGAACACGCGCATGGCGCTGCCGTGCGCGCCCGGCACCAGCGCGTGCGAGCCCAGCGACAGGTAGAGCAGGGCCACGCCGAGGCCCAGCGCCGCCAGCAGCGCCGCCAGCGCCAGGCACACGCGGCGCCGGCAGTGCCACTCGCGCTGGCCGAAGCCCTGCGACGTGGCCGGCTTGTTGCCCAGCACGGAGTACACGCTGAAGGGCAGCGGGCCGTAGTGGTGGCGGATGCCCTCGCACAGCGTGGTCACCAGGCCGGCCCACAGCTTGTCGGAGCCCTCGTACTGCCAGGCGCTGAAGCGGATGAACAGGAACTTGACGTTCTTGCGCCGCAGGTGCACCTCGGTGATGACGGGCTGCAGGAACACCAGGTACCACAGCAGCCGCGGCAGGCTCCAGCCGCTCACCGACCGCGGCCGCCACTGCACGCGCTGCAGGAACTCGGCCTCCAGCTGCCGCGCCTCCTGCTCCATCAGCGCTGCGGGGAGGAGGGCGCGGGCTGGGTCAGCGGGAGCGGCCGCGGCCACGCTCCGGCCGGGGCGGGGCTCGGCGTGGGGCGGGGCTCGGGCCTGGGCGGGGCTCGAGGCGGGGGCGGGGCTCGAGGCGGGGCTCGGGCCTGGGCGGGGCTCGGCGTGGGGCGGAGCTCGGGGCGGGGCTCGAGGCGGGGGCGGGGCTCGAGGCGGAGCTCGGGTCTGGGCGGGGCTCGGCGTGGGGCGGAGCTCGGGCCTGGGCGGGGCTCGGACCGGGGGCGGGGCTCGAGTCTGGGCGGGGCTAGGACCGGGGGCGGGGCTCGGGGCTCCGGCCGGGGCGGGGCCTGGCATTAGAATGGGCCGGGCGGGAAAAGCACGGGCGGAGGCAGGAAATGCGGAGGGAAAGACTTGGAGCCAGCTTGGACCGGGAAAGGTGGGAGGGCAAGGCCCAGGAGGGTCAGGGATGGACAGGAGCGGAGCCCCCAGAGGAAGAGGGAGGACGGGGGAGGGAAGGGTTTAAGGAGTGAAAGGAAGGATATGAGGTTCTGGTGAAGAGAAGTGTTGGGCAGCAAGGGTGCCGCCTTGATCTGATTTTCCTGCTCCTCTTCCTGCAGCTCTCATGAGGCTCAGCTGCCTCCTCCTCCAGGAAGCCCTCCCTGATCCCACACTGAATTAGGCGCCCCCAAGCTCTCCCCGCCGCACCTGCCTCCCTTGTCTCACCCACTTTGAGGTGTCCCTGGGGACAGGTGTGTCTCCCGCTCTGGACTGTGAGCCCTTGAAGGGCAGGGCCCTGGTTGCCTTGGTCACCAAGGAAGTGTTGGGGGGGACGTTTGAAGGATGGGTCATGCGAGGCTGGGCATCTGCCTGCTGTGACGTTGTGAATGAATGAATGAATGAATGGGAATGTGTCAGCCACCCAGCTCCAAATGCCATTCCTTTCTCCCTGTAATCAAACCTCTTCTCTTCTCAGGACAACACGGGCAGACGCGGGCGTGTTTATTGGATGCTCACCAGCCCTCTGGCCGCCGCGGGGCTGGGGCTGAGCTCCCGCAGGGCTTGAACCAGGTCCAAGCTGCTGCTGCAGATGCTGCCCAGGGTTCAGCTCATGTCTTCATTGACACCGATCAGTTCGGGCTCTCGTGGGCTCTAGGCCCAGCCTGAGCTGAGGAGAGGTGGGCCCTACAGCCCCAGGGAGGGTCTTGGGCTTTCTCCTTAGGGTGCTCGGGAGTCAGAGAAGGGGTCTGAGCCCGGGACCGCCAGGGATGGATTTGTGTTTTAGAAAGTTCCTTGGAGTGGATTTGGCAGGGGAGAGGGCTGAGACTGGAGGCCAGGAGGTCAGAGAGGAAACTGGAGCAGGGAGGGGGGGTGAGATGAGAGAGAAGGGGGCAGGGATGGGGGCAGAGGCGGAGAGAGTGATAGGGGTCAGGGATGGGGATAAGGGTGGGGGAGGGATGGGGGAGTGATGAGGGTCAGGGTGGGGGTCAGGGACGGGGGTAAAGGTAGGGGCAGGGTGGGGAAGGGATAAGGAATAGGGATGGGGCAGGGATGGGGCAGAGGTGGAGGAGTGAAAGGGGTCAGGGATGGGGGTCAGGGTGGGGGTAGGGATGGGGGGAGTGATAGGGGTGAGGGACAGGGATAAGGGTGAGGGCAGGGGGGGACAGGGATGGAGGAGGGATGGGGGCAGAGGTGGGGGAGTGATAGGGGTGAGGGATGGAGGTATGGGTGGGGGCAGGGATGGGGGAGTGAAAGGGGTCAGGGATGGGGGTCAGGGATGGGGGTAGGGGTGGGGAGGGATGGGGGCAGAGGTGGGGGGAATGAAAGGGGTGAGGGACAGGGATAAGGGTGAGGGCAGGGGGAGATGGGTGGGGAGGGATGGGGGCAGAGGTGGGGGAATGATAGGGGTGAGGGACGGGGATAAGGGTGAGGGCAGGGGGGATGGGGGTGGGGGAGGGATGGGGGCAGAGGTGGGGGAATGATAGGGGTCAGGGATGGGGATAAGGGTGGGAGCAGGGGTGAGGCAGGGGTGGGGGAGAGATTCGGGGCTGAGGCCGGGGCCTGCGTAGGAACCTGGTTAAAGGAAGCTGTGGCACCGGCCAGGGGAGTGGGGGTGGGGCAGTGGGGCTGGGCAGGGCCCACGGGCCCTCTCCTGTACCCTCGCCCCGCACACAGATCCTCACCGGTGATCTTGTCCAGCATCAGGTGCAGGCGGCAGCCGAAGGGGGCGTAGAAGCCCACGGTCACAGGCACAGGCACGTGGCAGAGGGTCTTGGCCAGGCAGCTGCAGTACACGTCGTCCTCGGTCAGGATATCTGGGAACCGGGGTCCGGGAGGGGGTAGAGGTGGAGAAACTGAGTCAGTGAGGCTCGCCGGGCACCCCTCCTCCCCTCCCGCTCAGAGCCGCCCTCAGCCCCTCCCTGCACAGCGCCCCGTCCCAGAGAAGACTCGGCTGGAACCTCGTCAGCCAAGGCCGGGGCCAGCCTCCCCGGCCCCCGCGGAGGCCCGAGCTCATGTGGCCGCCCTGGCCTGGGCCACCGTCCATGGGCCCTGGGCGAGTCCAGGGTCTTTCCTTGGGGCGCCAGGCCCTCGGATGCTTAGGACACCGCTCGCCGTGCTTCGCGTGCCCGCTCCCACTGCCCTGCCAGCCTGGATCGGGTCCCTGTGGCCACAGGCTCCTCAGCGACCTGTCCACCCCGGCCCTGACCTCTGTCCCTCTCCTGACGCCTGCCCAGTCACTCATCCTGCCCGGGCCCTGGCCGGCCTGCCTTCGGTCCGGCCCGTCACCTCCCTCTGGGTGCCCAGAGCAGGTGCCTCTGGGGGCGGATGGCAGAGACACGGGGGCCTGGGCACCAAAGGGTCCGGTCAGGGACAGGCCCTCAGCCGGCGCCGTGGTCTGGGACGGCCGTGTAGGGCGCCCTTGGGGTTAGTCCTGACCCCAGGAAGGCGGGGCTCCGTCGGGGCGGAGGGATGGCAGGCCGGCCTTTCAGAGGCCTCCCCCCACTCGTCCTCACCGGCCCCGCGGCCCAGAGTCTCCCGCCATCAGGCTGCTCCTGACCCGGAGCCCAGGCCCTGCCCCGCTGTTCTGTGTTCTCACCGGAGCTGAAGCCAGCTTCCTGTCCCCACCTGCCTCCCAGGTTAGGCCCCAGCACCTCCGGCCTGGCCTCCTGCGTCCGCTCCCCCGTAAGATTCTGCCAGCCACCCATCAGCCCTCTCCCCGCTCCCCTGCGCTGCACTACACTGGCTCCCCACTGTCCCCCCGCCCCCCAATCCGGCCTCTGCAGATCCTGCTTTCTCAAGAGAGCTGTGCTGCGCTTCAGTGATGACTGCTTGGCCGAAAAGCCTGTGCTCCCTCCCTCCTCTCCCCGCTGTGTTCTCCGCGTGGTGCTGGGCTTTAAACTTTCCTGTTTCTCATTTCCTGTCCCCCCGCCCTCGCCCCAGCATGTGAGCTCCAGGAGGGCGTCCATCTGTCTGCCCGGCTCCCTTTGCCCCCAGAACAGAGCCTCACACCCGCTGCAGCGTTTACTACCGGTCAGCGAATGGATGGATGGATGGATGGATGGACCCTCCCATCGCTGCACTGCTCTCTCCATCCCCCAGGTCTCCCCTACCTCTTGCTGCAGCCGCCCGTTGACCACCTCCCCGCACAGAGCTGGCCAGCTGGCTGGTGCTCACCACCCACCACACATCCCCGTGGCCTTTGGGCCAGTGAGACAGAAAGCAGAGCAGGGGAGTCAGCGAGGGAGTCAGCCCAGGCCGCTGGCAGCCCGGGATGGGGCACCAGGGACAGGCCCTGCCCGGAAGCCTTGATCCCAGCAGATGCAGAGAGTGGCCGCCGAGGCCCAGCGTCAGGGACCAGAGGGAGGGAGGGGGCAGCCCAGGCCCAGGCGGGGAGGGAGGGAGGCAGCAGGGACAGCCCGGGGGACGGGGTGAGCGTGGGGTGAGCACCGGAGCTGTACGAGGTGAAGGGGCCGCAGGCCGCGGGGGGCGGCAGGGCCCCGGCGTCGCTGCTGGCTGCGGAGGGCAGGCCGGGGCCGCTGCTGGCCACGGCGGGTGCAGGGGGCAGCTGGGGGGCGCAGGCCGGTCCCAGGGGGGCCGTGGAGGTTGTAGGTGATCCCTTCTGGGCACCAGGAACGGGGCAGAGGCGCTGCCGCAGGGGGCTAGGGGGTGCGGGCGGGGGCTGCCGCTGCAGGACGGGGGGCTGGGGGCCCCGGCGACAGCCCCCCACGCCCCCCGGGTGGCTGCGGTAGACGAGCTGCCACTGCACCTGGGGGCACAGCTGACAGGGCCTGTGGGCTGGAGGGGCCGCTGGGTCATGGCACCACGGCTGGCAGCATCCTGGAAGGAAGGAAGTGGGGGTGACTGGGCCTGACTCCTGGGGCCGCTGGCAGGAGCCGGGTTTCAGACGGAGGCCCGGAGTCAGAGGGACAGGAGGAGGGGTGGGCTCTGTGCCCCCCAGGAGTGGGGGCCGAGGTGCAGGGCCTGGGCTCTAACTGGGCGAGGGGCTGGAGAGGGGGTGACACCCCACATTGCTTGGTCCCTGGGTCCCCCGGAATCCATGGGGAACGGGCCTGGTTGGTCCAGAGGCCAGAGAGACGGAGGTGGCCGTGGCGAGGGGACAGGGCAGGATGGGGGTGGAGGGGGCCGGGCCTCACCCAGGCTCCAACCGGGGCTGGAGGGAAGGGGCCCCCGCCTCGTTCATTCTCTGTCGGATACACTGTCAGTGGGGCCGCCCCCCAGGTTAAGGGCCGTCCCCACAGCCTGGAGCTGCTCCCACTGGGAAGGGGCAGGCCAGGTGGGGCTCCCAGCTTTGGCCTCCGGGTCTGTGGTTGCCCCCCGCCCCCCACGGCCCCACATCCGAGGGGTTCTGGTGACTGACTCCCCTTCTGGGGCCTGAGCATCTGCCCCACCGTCCACTCGGCAGCCCCCACTCCCACGCCTCCCTGCCAGGACTCCCCACATGGTACCCCTACCTTTTTGGTGCCCCAACTCCGGGTCCAGGAAGCTGCTGTCGGCGGGCGGCCGGGGGGGCCGGGCGCCCTTGGCGCAGTGGACGGTGTAGTGCTGGTGCATGGCGGCCGGGCTGCTCACGGGGGACGGCCTCGGGGCCCAGCCGCCGTGGCAGCGGCGGGAGCCCACCTCCAGGACCGCGCCTGGGACCTGGGACGGGAGACCCCAGCCCGACGTTGGCTCCCAGAGTAAAGGTGAGCTCAGGTCCAGGGAGGGGTGGCCAGCCCCGGGGGGAGGTGCGGGGCTGAGGGGCGTGGGGCTGATTGGGGTGGGGGAGAGGGAGGGCTCAGGGGCCCAGGGAGTCGGTGGGAGTTCTCAAAGGCCAGGACGATGGGGTGCTGGGGTGTGGGCTGGGGGAGCGGGGCTGGGGGTGGTGATGAAACCAGGGGAACTGGGCATTGGGGGATGCGCTGTGGAAGCCAGGCTGGCGCTGTCTGAAGGGCACGGTGGGCCCAGGGCACTGGGGGCGGGGGCACGGGGCATCCGATGGCTGAATCTCAGGGCTGGTCCATTTGGAGCCTGAATGGGCAGCTGGAGGGAGGGGGATTCTGGGGGAGCAGATGAAAGTAGGGGTTCCATTTGGAGAGAGGCTCAGCAAACTCAGGGTGACAGGGGTGCCTGGGCTTAACACATGAGGCACCAAAAACAGGAGGAGGGGAGGGAGGGATGTGGGTGGGGGAGAGGGGGGAGGACAGGTGAAGTGGTAAGAAATCGGGGTGGTGGGAGTTGGGGCTCAGTGAGGGTTGGGGGCCAGGCATGTGGCCCCTGCCCACTGCCCCTCAGCCCGGGGTCCCCATACCTGGTTGCTGCCTCGGTCCTGAGGCCCCGGCTACCCCGCCGCCAGCACAGGCCCGACTGGTGAGGCCCGGTGCCGAGCTGAGCTGCCTGACCGACCGGTTTGCCCGCCCAGTCCCCTCCCCTTCTCCCCAGCTTGCCAGGCGCCCTCTGCTCTCCAGGATTGGGGGGCCTGCCCTGCACCCTACCTGAGCTCAGGATGGAGGTGACCGGCCGCGGTGCCGCCCGGGTGGGACCTGACGGGGTCTGTGTCGGCCGGGCCCCAGCACTTCTGCTGTGGGAGGGGAGGAGGCGGGGCAGGGACAGTCCGAGCCGAGCCAGGACGCAATCCTGGGTTCCAATCCCGGGTTCCAATCCCGGCTCGGATGCCAGACCCTGGGGCCCAGCTGGGTGACCTGGGCCGGTGACTTCACCTCTGAGCCCGGCTTCCTCATTGCTGACGGGCCGAGTCCTGCCTGTCGGCGTGGCTGTCAGGGAGCCCCGGAGCCGGGCGTGGGATGGCAGTGACAGCAGCGAACATGCGGGGACTGCCTGACCCAGTTACCAGCTGCTCCGAATGCTTCTCATATAATGACAACGACACACGCCGAGGCGACCGGGGGCCCTGGCGGGCATGCCTGTCATACACCAGCCGTCCTTCCTCATCGCCCCGAGAGGGGGGTGCTCTCTGTGGTCCCCGGTGGACGCAGCGGCAGGGCGGGGCTGTGAAAGCGGGATCAGTGATTTGTGGTCAGGATCTGCCTCCTGACAGGTGGGGTCCCTTTAAGACAAACTTCCCGAGATGAGGGCGGGGCCGGGCCCTGACACCATGGGTGCCCCTCTGCCCCCCACACCCCACACAGTGGCTGCCTGGGGAGATGGGTGGTCTGATGGGCGGGCGGGCAGCCACAGCAGGACCCAGGACAGGGATGTTCAGGACAGAGGACGCCTGTGCCTGGCTCTCTCCTCCCCGGGCCTCCACGCTGCGTCTCCGGGGAGGGCTTCCTCCCTGTCCTCCCCCAGCCCTGGCCTCGTCCCGATAGGGGGCGAGTGTGTGTGGGAGCTCCAGGGTGGCCCCCGAGCTTAGAGGCCGGGCTGGGCCAGTCCCCATCCCCGGGCCCGCACACAGGGCTTCGCTGAGTAAGTGTGATTCACGCAGGAGCATCTGCCGGCTCTGGCTCGGCTCTGAGCTGGGCAGGGCCACCGGCGGGCGGAGGGACAGGGATAAGTAAACACCGGATCCGCCAGGAAGGGCAGGGCGGCAGCTCCAAGCGGCTGGTTGACTATGGAGACCCATAGGGGACAGGAGTTGGCAGAGGGCAGGGCAGCCGGGCAGGGAATGGCATGTGCAAAGGCACAGAGGCAGGCCAGAGAATGCAGTCCTCACGCATGTGTGGCCTGGGGAGGGCTGGCCACGCAGGGCCAGTGCCTGCACTAAACCTACAGCGCAGAGGGGCCTGGTTTTGTTTTGTTTAAGATATTTTACTGATTTTTCTACAGAGAGGAAGGGAGAGAGTAAGAAACATCCATCAGCCGCCTCCTGCACACCCCCCACTGGGGATGTGCCCGCAACCAAGGTACATGCCCTTGACCGGAATCGAACCTGGGACCTTTCAGTCCACAGGCCGATGCTCTATCCACTGAGCCAAACCGGTTCAGCACGAGGGGCCTGGTTTTAAACCACCTGGTCTCACCCCGGCTGAGGGGGGCAGCTCTGAGATGGAAGGACTTACACTCTGGGCAGCAGGTGGCAGCCAGGGGTAAGCCAGGGGTCTGATGCTGCAGACGTTATGGATGTGAGTGGGAGAGGGGCGGGTATGACTTGTGTCTGCCAGGCATGTGAAGTGTGTACAGTGTGTGTGTGTGTGGGGGGGGGGGCGGGATAAGGGTGTCTGGCCTGTCCCCACCTGCATCCATCCTCCCTCGGCCACCTGCCCTCCAGGCACCCCTGGCCCCGCTCCCCAGGGAGAGGTCCATGCTGTGGGCCCACGGGCAGAGGGCAGCCCCACACGTGTGGGCACCCTCCCATAACAGGTGCGAAGGCTCCAGGACTCGGGCCCAGAGAATGGGGCCCCAGAAAGAGAGGTGACGAGGGGCAGGGAGCCAACACAGGTGCTCTGCCCCCTCCTGCCACAGGCCCTGTGACAGTCCCTTTACAGACCCCACCCCCGAGCTCAGAGTGCCCCCGTCATCCACGTGAACTGGTCTGCACACCGGAGCCTTTATTGAGCGCCTGCAGAGTGAGCGTCCGGCGGGATCTGGCCACACCAGGCCCGAGGGCGGCCGGGACCGCGCTGCCCGGGGCGCCCCCACTCCCGTGACACCCATTTTCTGAGCACGTGTGATCCCTGACGTGGCTGGGCCCCTGCCATGCTCATCGCCCCGAGTCCGGGATCCCCGCAGCGGCCGGGGCCTGGGCCGGCGGCGGAGAGACTCCGGGGGCCGGCGGCTCAGCATCGGTCGATCACCACCTGGAACTTGCCTGGGAGAGAAGGGCTGGCGTTAGCCGAGGCGGGACCTGAGGGGGAGGCAGAAGCATCCAGCAGAGTGGGCGGCCTCGCTCCCGCCCCCCGCCTGCCTCCCAGGGCGGGTGCCTGGCACGGAGGTCAGCGTGCAGGGAAGGGCCGGCAGGTTTTCGAGGCATGCATTGCTCAGGCGCTAACCACCTGGGCCCCGTCCCGCCGGGGCCTGGGCCCGGGAGCCTGGCAGAGGGAAACACCTCGGGGAGGGAGGGCAGAGGGGAGGGAGCTGGCACGTGACGTAAGCTCTCGGGGTCTCAAATGTCCTAAACCCGGCTCAGTGGCCTGGGCTAGGGAGCAGGGACAGGGAGCTCTGGAGCCCCCGCCACCCCAGGGAGGGCAGGGTCCCCCCACTCCCACGACTCACAGGCCGGCAGGGCTGCCACGGAGGCGGTGACCAGGCTTCTGATGCCCAGGGTGCTGAGGGTGCCGCGCAGGAGGCCGCAGGTGAAGGCCAGGAACTGGGGGGGGCAGGCGGGGGGGGCACAGGTCACGGTGGGAAAGGGAAGGCCGACACCCAGGACCGGCCGGGATGGGCCTCGGGCTTCACCGTGGGGTCAGCCCCTCGGCCTGGGGAGAGGCCCCCCTGGGGGAGGGGGAGGGGTAAGTCGGAGAAGCGAACCGGGGGCGTGTCCCAGCACCCCCTTACCTTGGGTACTTCCTCCAGGTACTGCAGGCCTGAGCCCATGCGGACGAGCAGGGGGAAGCTGCTGTCCTGGAGGACGTAGGTGCCCTGCGGACAGAGAGGCCGAGGGCTCAGGCAGTGCCTGGGCGTTCGCAGCCGGGGGAGGGGAGCCAGGACTCTGGCAGGATGCTCTCTTCAGAACCCGGTAACCCTGGCCAGTGTTGGCCAATGGTTGGCGTCGTCCCCTGCACCGAAAGGCCAATTCAGGGCACATACCTAAAGCCCAGCCCCGAGTTAATTGGGGCCCATGCAGGAGGCAACTGATGGATGCTTCTCTCCCTCCCTCCCCCTCTCTGTAACCACCAATGACAGTGTCCTCGGGTGAGACCGAAAACGTAAACAACATGGCGGTCACGGCCCATCCCTCAGGCTGCAGAGGAGCCCCCAGGCTCGGGGCCTGGTCCCCGGGGTGCGCGGCCCTGCCCTCTGGCGGGGTGGCTGCCGGGTCGTGTGAGAAGCTGCAGGCCCGGCCCGAGGAGTGGCCGGCAGGTGGAGGACTCGGGGACTCGGACCAGGCTAAGGAAGCAGCCACGAGGCCCCTGCCGCTCGGGGCCTGTCCTCCCGCACAGGGTCCCCTCAGGAGCCGGTCCCCCGCAGCCGGGCCAGGCCGGGCCGGGGCGCGCACCTGGTGGTTGGTGCGGAGGCCGTCCATCTGCTTCTGGAACACGGCCCCCCACAGGTCTCTGCACAGGAACTTGAGGACGTCCAGCTCCTCCCTGAAGGCCAGCATCTCCCGGGGCAGCCTGGGGGCAGCGGCAGAGACCGAGTCAGGCGTGGCCAGGGGTGGGGAGCCCAGGGTGTGTGCGGGGGGCTGGGTTCCTGCGGGGGGCAGTGCACCCCCGGCCCCGGGTCCCGCTGGGGTGGGAAGCGCAGGAGGGCCCCTCTCACCTCTCGCCCAGGGCCTGGCCCACGCGGAAGCCCATGCCCTCCAGGACCTGCAGGCTCGTCCTCTGTCCCTGGGAGACCAAGCAAGAGAGGCTCAGGGCGCGGCCCCCTCCAGGGGGAGCCACCCTGAGGCCGGGCAAGGGCCCCGCCATCCCTCCAGCTCGGCGCTGCGGGCCAGGGCGGGCTCAGGCCTGCGGGAAGGCAGGCTGACTTTACCCCTCTGCAGACCCCATCACCCCACAGGGCCAGCTCCCCTAAAGTGGGGGTATTCCCCACACTCAGCTCTACCCTGCTAGTAGCCCTGAGAGCTCCTGTCCCTGTGAGCACAGCTCCTGGTCACCCAGAGGAAGGTGGCAGCAAGGCCAGGCCTGGCCAGCAGGGGGCGCAAGCGTCTCCAAACCTCTGCCCAGAACCCGGGAGGCCGCACAGGCCCGGAGCACTTGGGGGAGGCAGGGGTGGGGGGAGGCAGCCCCGGGCAGGGGGAGGCAGGGCCGGGGCAGGGGCAGTGCAGGGGGGGGCAGTGCAGCCGGTGGTGCTGTGGAGGGCAGGCCAGGGTCTCCCGGGGAAGAGGCTGAGGCATGGGGAGGGGAACAGCGTGGCTGGAGAGCCCGTTTGCCCTTTTCGTTTGGGGTGACCTGGAGGGAGCTGAGGGTGCTGTCGACATAAAAACCGTCCAAACCTGTAGTGAATTTTTATGTTTGTTTGAGCCAAACTGCTCATTGCCAGGAAGCAACATCTCAACAAACGGAGAAAATGCCCCGGAGAATGACAGTTGGAGGCAGCGGCGGCGCCTGAGGAGGTGACGGGAAACAGGCCGGGGAGAGCTTTGGGGCAGAGGAAACGGGGGTGGCGTCCCCGGGATAGGGTGAAAAGTAAAGCAGACACATCCTCTGGCACAGTCATGGCACAGGACGCGAGCACTCAGAGCACACAGGGCGGCATGCCGGAGCGGTGCAGTGAGGTCCCTGTCTCTGCGTGTGTGTGTGTGTGTGTGTGTGTGTGTGTGTGTGTGCGCGCACGCGCACACGCGCCCGGAAGGTGTGAAAAGGAGATTTCTCTGACATTTCGACGGTGTGTTATCTCAGATGCAAAAAGACAAGACAGGCTCACTTCGGTAACTTTGTCAAGGACTCCAGGCCCGGGATGTGACCACAGCTGTGACTCCCTTTAGTTGGGAAACTGTATGTTCAGACCATCTCCCTGAGCGTCCCGGCGTTAGTATGTGCCCCCTTTTCCGTTCAGAGGGAGGTCCAGGTTGGGGCATCAGCAATACCGTCAGCCTACGGGGGGCGGCTGAGGTGAGAACCTGGGGGCGGCAGTGCCAGACCTGAGCCGCCTCCCTCTGTCCCCTAACCTTCCCCCCACCTTCCCCCCCCCCCCCCCGCACTATCGCGGACCCCCTGCGTGGTGAGTGGGGTTTTCTGCTTAGATCCCGCCTGAGATGGCATCCGGGCCTTCTGGGACCAGCCATGCCCCGTCACCTCCACCCCACAACACTCCCACTCCCCGTTCCCTCTGCCGGACTCCTGCAAGGCCCTCCCAGGGCAGGTGTGCGACCCCGCCCTGTGCCTCTGCAGGGTGGGGACCAGGCCAAGCCCCAGCAGCCAACACAGGCCTGGGCACCTGGGGGGGAGCTGAACAACAAGCATGAACAGGGAGAAGGGGCGGGGCTTGTGCATATGCCGTGTGCAGGTCCTTTGTACAAACACCCGCTTAATTTTAACAGCCCCGTAAGGGAGGCCTTTTCACACCCCAAAACAGGCTCAGAGGGGAGGGCTGAACTCTGCCGTGGATCTTTCAAACCTGAGCAATCTGTCTCCCAGGCCCAGCTGGCCAGATGGCTGGGTGGCTGGGACACCACAGCCGTCCTGGCCCAGGTGTGGCGACAAGGGCCAAGCAGAGGTCACCGAATTTCCCAGCCAGGCGCCCTCTCCTGGGCCACCCAGGCCCTTCTCTGCTCCGCCCGTGGGAACCGGCCTGGGTGAACACAGCTTCCTGTCGGGCTGTGGGAGGGGTGTGATGACAAATGGAGATAAGCTGGGCCTGAGAGAGACCCTGAGGGGTGAGGGGACAGGTGCCCCGTGAGGATCAGCCCCTGACACGTACCGGGAGGGACTGGGCGGTGGCTAACTGCCCTGTGCCTGGGCTTTGTCTGTAAGAGGAGGTCAGCGTTAACAGCTTCCCGGTCCTTCTGGGATCCAAGGAGCTGGAAACGGAGCCCTCCACGCTGGGCTCAGGAAGTGCTGCCGCCATGGCCAGCCACTGGCACTGTGCCTGTCCATTTGGGGGGCCCTAGATGTTGGGGGGTGAGGCCCTGGCTGCAGGAAAACCCCACGGAGGGGCTCTGTCCTGGGGGTGATGTACCCCAGCACCCAGAATGCTGCCCAACCGCGGGCCTCTCCCTTCTAGAGTGAGCTCCTGGAGGCCGGGGCTGGGCTCCACGCTGACCGAGCACGATGTGCCCCTGAGGACTCCCCAGCGGGCCAGGGGAGAACCCAGACTGCCTGGTTTTGAGGGTATGTGCAAAAGCAAGGAAAAGCAAGGAGAATGTAGCTTAGGCCACTGTTTGTGTATATATATCTACAATAATAAAAGCATAATATGCTAATTAGACAGGACAGCAAATGACCTTCCAGACATCATTCCAACATCCTTCCAGACAAAGCTGCTGTGGCAGGGCCGAGGCAGAGGCGGTGAGGGGCGATCAAGCAGGCAGGTGAGCGGTGAGGAGCAATCAGGCGGGCAGGTGAGTGGTTAGGGGCAATCAGGCAGGCAGGTGAGCGGTTAGGGGCAATCAGGCAGGCAGGTGAGCGGTGAGGGGCAATCAGGCAGGCAGGTGAGCGGTTAGGGGCGATCAGGAAGGCAAGCAGGTGAGCAGTTAGGAACCAGAGGCCCTGGATTTCGAGAGGGGTAGGCCAGGCTGAGGGGACCTCCCCCTCCTTGCACGAATTTCATGCACTGGGCTTCTAGTGTGTGTGTGTGTGTGTGTGTGTGTGTGTGTGTGTATACATATATATTATTTATTTATTTTTTCATTCAGAGAGAAAAGGAGAGGGAGAGGGAGAAGGACAGAGAGAGCCTCAATGATGAGAGAGAATCATTGATCAGCTGCCTCTTGCACGCCCACTACTGGGGATCTGAGCTGCAACCCGGGCATGTGCCCAGGAATCGAACCGTGACCTCCTGGTTCACAGGCGGAGGAGCCACCACTGAACCACACCAGCTGGGCGTCCCTGGGATAGGGTGAAAAGTAAAACAGACACATCCTCTGGCACAGTCATGGCACTATTAACAAGGGACAGCGATGGGAGGAGGGGAGGGGGCCCCTGGGGGCCAGGATGAGGAGGGCGCGTTTTCCGTGTGTGACAAATGCTGCCCGAATGGTCCTGGTGCAGGGCAGATGGGGGTGACACAGACAAACCCCGCCCCACGGCGCGGCGCCCCAGCGGGAGCTTCCACAGGCACCGCCGTGCCTGCCGGAGCCCGAGATCTGGAGGAGGAGTAAAGCGGGAGGGACACAGCCGGGACAGCGGCTCTGAGGGGGCGGCCGGGTCAGCAGGGTCCTCAGCCAGGCTGCGGGGCATCGGAAAGGTTCTCTCCAGTGCGTTTCCCTTCAGTGAGTTGGGCAAGCTACCTCCCGGCCCCGTGCCTCAGTTCCCCCAGTGAAGGGGGGCTGATGGCAGTCCCTATGCACAGCAGTGTTTTTTTCTTTTTTTAAAATATATTTTATTGATTTTTTACAGAGGAAAGGAGATAGTTCAAAACATTGATGGGAGTCATCAATCAGCTGCCTCTTGCACACCCCCTACTGGGGATGTACCTGCAACCAAGGGACATGCCCTTGACCGGAATCGAACCCGGGACCCTTCAGCCCACAGGCCGATGCTCTATCCACTGAGCCAAACCGGTTTCGGCCACAGCAGTGTCTGACAGCTCTATCCGTAGCTGCTGTTATTGTTGGCCTTGGGCCCATGGAGTGCCTGCTAAATGGGAGACCTGGGCTTGTTGGGACCTGGGGGATAATGAGAGAGGGAGGGAGAGAGGTGAGAGAGGGAGGGGGAGAGGTGAGAGAGGGAGGGAGAGAGAGGGGAGGGAGGGGGAGAGAGGGGAGGGAGGGGCTGAGGAGGAGCAGGCGGCAGGGGAAGAGGGGGTGGGGTGGAGGGAAGCAGAAGCCGCGGGTTCACCTGCTTCCATCCCAGCCTGTCCCAGACTGTCCTGCCCTGGCCCTGCACAGGCTCTCAGAGACGAGGGGTTTACCATACTCCCAGGGAGGACGGGGCAGACTCGCCCACTCACCAGTCTCCTGGGACCCACCCAGAGCCCTGTGTGTCTGGGCTCCCGCGCCGGCTCCGCTGTGTGTACACAAAGGCCCCGGAGAGGAAGTGGGATAATCAGGAACAGAGGGAACCCTCGGCCCGGCCTTATCAGTGTCGCACTAACGCCCGCCACACAGCACGGGTGCTAGGCGGAAGGGACAATCAGACAAAGGGAAGTTCTTGGAAATGAGAACGGCAGCAGCCAAAATAAACATCTGCTAGCACAGGAGCTAAAAAATGACAAATTTGTGGGGCAGATAAAGCCACCCGATTGTCCAGAAAAAACCCGAGGCAGGAAGCGGGGGCAGAGCTGCAAGACACGTGGAAGAGATCCAGAAAGTCTGAAGTTCCTCCGACCGGCAGAGAGACATGGTGGAGCGACGTGGGAGAAGTAGCCACAGAGCCCACCGGCCCCGTTGGCTGGAGCGTCATCCCATACACCAACAGGTGCAGGTTCGATTCCTAGTCAGGGCATGTGTGGGAGGCAACCAGTCAATGTATCTCCACGTCGATATTTGTCTCTTTCCATTACTCTCTTAAAAAAAAAAAAAAAAAATCCTCCTAGCCAAAACCAGTTTGGCTCAGTGGATAGAGCGTCTGCTTGCGCACTGAAAGGTCCCGGGTTCAATTCCGGTGAGGGGCATGTACCTTGGTTGCCGGCACATCCCCCGTAGGAGGTGTGCAGGAGGCAGCTGATGGATGTTTCTGATTCTATCCTTCTCTCTTCCTCTCTGTAAAAAATCAATAAAATATAT